GTATAAAAACGCGTATATTGATATTAAAAACACGTATAGCAACGGTAGCAATGGTATTTTTTAGTCATCGTACGATAGTTAACTTTAATTGTAGTATTAGTAATTTATTAACATATATATTATTGTATATTATTAACGTGTATATTTTAAAATTTTTAAATTGTAAAACATTGTAAATTTATTTATAGAATACAGTACAATACAAATACAATATCTAATCATGTAAAATTGTAAAAATTCATCCTCTTGTTATAATTGGATCTGTCTCTTATACACATCTAGATGTGTATAAGAGACAGGAATTCTGCCATTTTGACAAAATTTGCCAAATTGTAAGTCCTCCATTATCCCAAAATTGTAACACAATTTACCCCAATTTACCGGGATAATTCTCAATTTGCCAGAAAAATTCCAGGCAAATTTTGCGACAATGACACCTGTTCGACCTGTGTTACCTTGAATATTTAACTATAACAAATCTTTCCATAGGCGATACCTTTAGGTCGTGGGGAGATGTGGACGGAATCATAAAAGCCTATAGCAAAAGACATGAATTTACGATTATAAAGAAACGATTAGGTCAGCGTGAAGATGGGAGTATTAAACATCATAGCTTTAGATGTGAATTCGGCGGCCATTATCATCCACAAAAACAAGTTGATATTAATAGTCATCAAGATCATAAATCAAAATGCCAGCAATGTCCATGGAATGCAAATTTCAATTGCCCTCAAAACTCTCAAGGCGTATCTCTTACCACTTTCAATAATTTGCACAACTATGCGTTATTTCCTGCTGATACTGAAAATTATTCATCAAAATACCGTTGCATTCCTGATGATGTCCTTAAAGAAGTCCAATTTCTCACCGAACATAGAAATTTACCGATTACCACTCAACAAAAGTTGTTGAAGGCAAAATTTCTGACTATATCTATTCTCGACTGTGATCTCTCTAATGTAATACAAAAATATAAGGTTAGGCCAGATGTAATCCATGATGCATTTCGCTTACTAAAAATACTAATTGAGCATAAGTCAAACGATCCCAGATGGTTCATTGATTTTCAGTTTGATCAAGATAAAAGACTTACTCAGCTTTTTTGGATGTCTATGTCCCAAATTACTCTTTGGTTAGAGTATCATGATGTTATTTTAAACGATAACACTGCTAAGACCAACCGTTATCAAATGCCATTATCACTTTTCCTTGTCGTTAATAACAATACTAAATCACGACTTGTAGCTCAAGCCCTCGTATCTGACAAATCGGTAGAATCTTATAAATGGATTTTGGAGTGCACAAAAAAAGCAACAATGACAGAACCTTTAGTGTTCATCACAGATGCCGATCCCACCATGAACGCAGCGATCACACAAATATACGAGACAACTCACCCGATTCATTGCATTTTCCATATCAGCGAAAATCTACCAAAGAATGTTAAATCAAAGCTCAGCGATCAATATGAAAGTTTCGTTCGGAGCTTTTTTTCATGTCGTAACAGTTTGTATGAAGAACTTTTTTATGAAAGGTGGTCTAAGCTTATAGAAAAATATCCTAGTATAAAGGATTACCTGATGAGAGCTCTTTATCCTAGTCGTCAAGCGTGAGCTCGTGCATTTACGTCAAAAATTTTCACCGCAGGAATTCAAACTACTTTCCGCGTCAAAAGTCACAATAATATAATCAAGCGTGAGTTGTCAGCAAACAGTACATTATGCGGTCTCGCAGATGCTCTTGATGCACGGTTTGAACATGAAGCTCAATGGAATCGGTTTTTTGAGTACCGCATTTTATCAACTTACGTGGGGATTATAACGGTTAGTCAAGACCTTTTTCCTAAAGTCGATAAAATAATGACTGAATACCTAACCCCACAAATATTGTCTGCTGAGCGTATGGAAATGGCACAATGCCTTTACTTTGTACCAAGTCAAGTGGAACCAAATATCGTTGAGGTATTTAGTGTCTTTTTTATATATTGAAATGTTAACGAAATCTAATACTATTGCTATATAGGATCCAGAAGCTGGTGTAATGGAAGGATGTGTTGAAGATTCATATGATGCTAAGNTCTTCGTTTTCTTCGTTCTATCTGAATTTCTCTTCATTACATTTGGATTTTTTTGTTATGGCTACTAACAAAAAATTAAATAAAATAACCGTTCTTAATCAATCAAAAAAATCGTCAGATCTTCCTGTTCAACAAAATGTAAGTTAAGTTTAGCATTTATATTGCAGTTTGATCTCTTTTTAACAATATTAAGTTTTAATTATAAATATAGAGAATTCTAGAAAAAGTGGTGGATGAAACTGTATCAATTTCCAAACCAACCGGTGCTTATATTAATATTGCAAAAATTTTAAACCTGAATAATGAGGAATTTAATGGTTACAAAGTTTGTAATATATAAATATGTAATTGTTGATATAATTCATGTATTGTCATTTTAGGATTTAACTTTTATATATTTTACTAGTCAAGTATACGTGACCTAATTGAAGCGTATATCGATGTTGAAACGTCCTGGGAAAAGCAGGAGAGGAGAGCAATATTAAAAATTATTGAGAAGGTGAGTATATTGTAAATTAATCATTTAATCATATTTTAAATCAATACATTTATAATACATTTAACAAAATTCTTTTTTCAGTTCAAAGGAAATAATAGTCATTTTCCCAAAACAACAGGAGATTGGGCTATCAAAGAATTATTTCGCCGCTCGATGAACAATAAACGTAAATAATAATTTCACCTTTTGAATTATATTTATTTATAAAAATAAATACATATTAATTTTTGAATTTTATAAAAGGTGCTCACCAAAAAAGACTAAAGAAGAAGGAAATGGAAGTTATTTTAAAAAAGAATAAATCGGTGATCACTAGAGATAAAATTAAAAACAAAGTGGTCATTAGTAGTAGTGGAACTGCAGATGATTTATCAGATAAGGTATAATATATATAGTATAAGCATTTTGTTAAAGCAACATATTTTTAACTTCAGTTATATCTCTTTTAAACTTTTCTTGAAGTCTGATAATAACGATAATAATACAGACGTTGACAATACCAATACAAATGTCAGCGGAAAGAGCGGGAAGAAAAAAAATGAAAGAAAAAAATCTGGGCGGATTTCCAATCAACCGCGAAAAGGTAATAATTAATACTTATTTTTTCATTTTATATTACAAAAAATTTTTTATAATAATCAATTAATTTTTATTTTTATTTTAGATTATAACGAAAATAATAAAGTAAGTTATTTAATTTGAAATTAATTAGTTACAAATACTAATATTTTATTTTATTTCATAAATTAGAGATAACAATATGTAAAAAAGAAAAAGAAACCAAAATTTTGCAACCCCTGAATATAAAAGATATATTCTAGACGAATCACATTTTGACAAATTTATCATTTCGGGTACTTTTGTGAATCTATAATCCTTGAATAGCACATAATATGCATATTTTAAATAAAGTAAATTTTTGTGTCGTATTGCTTTTGTAATGAAATTTTGTAACAATGTAACGATAATGCAAAATTAAAGTTTAAAAGTTCATTTTTCGTTAGTTAAAATTTTGTGTCACTACTTATCCGGTTAGTTTGGAAAATAAAGGAAATTGTCCAATTAAAATTATGTATATTATACACGTGATCTGATCGTCCAATTAAAATTAAATTATATTATACACGTGATCTGATCATCAAAATAAATATAACGCAGAAAATATTTGTTTATTTTTTTTTAACTTTTTTTCTTCAAACTTTTCTTTTCGTTTATTTATTTTTTAACTTTTTTACATTTGAATATTACTAACTTGCTTTTTTCACTACGCAGAAAATATTTGTTTATTTTTTTTAACCTTTTTTTCCTTCAAACTTTTTTTCTTCAAACTTTCTTTTCTTCAAACTTTCTTTTCGGTAAGAAAATTTATTTTTTTTTATCCTTTTATTTATTTTCTAACTTTTTTACATTTCAATTACTAACTTTCTTTTTTCACTAACTTTATACTTTTTTTTATTATTACTAACGCTAACAAATGCTAACAATTACTTTCCATACTACTTACTAATTTGCTTTCTTTATTAACTTCATACTTTTTTATTTTTAATATTAATAATTTACTTACAATAATTTATTTTACTTTCTTTTTTTTTATTATTACTAACGCTAACAAATGCTAACAATTTACTTTCCATACTACTTACTAATTCTAATTTTGCTTTCTTTACTAACTTCATACTTTTTTATTTTTAATATTAATAATTTACTTATACCAATAATTTACTTTACTTTCTTTAATATTTGATTTTATTTTCTTTATACATTTATAGTTTTAATTTATAGTTTATATCTAATACAGCGATAGTATATTATTTATGAATTATTATATATATATATTTATATTTTTTTATAGTTTTCTACATTTATAATTCATATCAAATATAGTGTTTTATTTTGTATATTAAATTAATAAAAATCCATAATTTCACTTTATAAATTTGCTTGTCGTTAATCGTTACTGACCAAATTTTAACTTACTGTAATCATAATTCCTAAAATTCGGCCCACAATAATTCCTAAATTCGGCTTACAATAATTCCTAAATTTGCCATAATAATTCTTAATAATTCGGCCCACAATAATTCCTAAATTCGGCCATAATAATTCCTAATAATTCCTAAAATTCGGCTCACAATAATTTCTAAATTCGGCCCAGAATAATTCCTAAAATTCGGCCCTAAATTTGGCTCAAAAATTAGACAATAATTTTATAAAATCAGGTCATAAATTGGATTATTATTGTATGATTGCCATACAACTATTGTGTGATTTATTGCAATTTTTAGCACAATTATTGTATGGTCAAATATACAGAAATCATAGTGAATTTAATTGGATGTTTTTTCAACAAAAATCACACAGGCTTTTTTCATAGGGATGGATTGTTACGAAAAAGGAAAAAAGACTATTAAATATGAAATGGATTACTTAAAGAGTTCTTATGGTAAAGAGAGTCCCACTTATAATATTCTTTCAATTGATGGAGGGGGTGTTTGTGGAATATTACCTGCCTTATGGCTTAGTGAGATAGAATATCGCACACATAGACCCATTTCTTGCTTATTTAATATGATAGCTGGAACATCAACAGGAGGGATTATTGCTGCTGGGCTATCGGTACCATCCTGGGAAATAATGTATGATGAAAATAACGTGCCATATTATAAATGTTCAAATTCAAGACCAAAGTTTTCAGCTTCAGATATATTAAATCTTTACCAGAACCAAGTAAAAGACTTGTTTACCAAAAATGATTCATGGAAATTGTTCAAGCCAAGATATACAGACAAAGATCGCAATTCATTGTTTTTTAATCATTTCGGAAATGTGCGTTTAAATAAAGCACTTACAGAACTAGTTATTCCTGCAGTAGATGAAAATAATTTAACACGTACACATTTATTTACACGTTATGGATGATCGTCCTGGTTACTCAAATGACACTTTTTTTGATACTTTAATGGCAACAACGGCTGCGCCCACTTTTTTTCCGCCTTATGAGATAAAGGGCAGGGGCTTTTTCATAGACGGAGCCTTACATCTTAATAATCCAGCAATGGCGGCATATGAAAAAGCTATTCAGTATAATGTAGCAAAAGAAAAGATTTCCGTGCTTTCTTTAGGTACAGGGGGCTATATGCCTAACCCTTTAAATCCTGATCTATATCGTGGTAATCTTTTTTGGGCACAAAATCTTCACAAAGTAGTGCTACCACAACAGAAAGGCAATACTGATCGTTCAATGTATAGTTTATTGGGAAATCATTATCAACGATGGCAGGTTTGGTTTGAAGAAAAAATAAGTTTGGATGATTACAAAAGTGTTCCTTATCTCTTAGAATTAGGTCATCAGTATATAGAAGAACTTGATGCTTCAGATGAGAATCCTATAAATAAGTTGATAGAGTCTTTTGAGTAAGACTTTAAGAATTTCAATGCCTAAATTAATTTATTATCTCCAACAAAGTCTCTCAAATTTATTAAATGCCAAATTGAACATTTTGACAACTTATCAATTTTTTTTCTTTTTTTTTTTAAAAAAAAAAAGATCATATTAGAGAAAACAAGTTATTTATATAAAAATTATGAACAATTATCTTATAAACAATTATTTTACATAGAAATAAAGATTTGTTGCTACAAAAAAAATCAAAAAAATCAAAAAAATCGCAATTTGTATGAACACCAAAACTATATGTAGACGTGCTTGTAACAATTATAAATATTTTTTGGAAATTTATTTAGATTTTACGCAGAATGTGTAATAGCGTAAATACTAAGTGATTTAATTATGCGTACAAAAATTTTAATTTTGATTAAAATTGGTTATTAGGTCTTCTTTAATGCTTCTCATGTTTGTAGTCTAGGGTTGGGACCGGCCTCATAAAAATATGAGCTGTTACAGTACATGCGTCAAATTTAAGACACAAGTAGAGCATGTGACGATGATCAATGATTGCCCTGTCTGTTACGTAATGATGATAACCCGATTTCGAGCCGGTTCCTGTTCGGTTCAAAACGATTTTCATGGTGTAGGACTTGAGCACGTCATAAAGACGTTTGCCGCCTCATGCTACGAAACAATTATAACAATTCCCGAGTTTCAAAATAAAATTGAATAATAAAAATGAAATGAAAAATTCAAGAAAGAAAATAAATTCTAAGTTTCTATCCCAATGAAATCCCATACGTTATATTTAAGATATAAAGAACTAATCAAAATATTAATTTCCTGATTTCGACTTAGAAGAATGAAAAATACAAACCAATTAAAATAATTACTTCCTTTTTCTGACATAAAATTAAGAACCAATTATTTAAATCTTCTCAGAATAATATATAAATAATATTCTGGAAGATGGTGGCGATGAAATAGTCTTTCTGAAGTTGTTGATGCTGACGATTTGAGTCCTCGTCATCAACCTAAAATATTATCGTGAATAAATCCAACTAAAACTCATTGAATCAATTGTATGTTAAAAATTATTTTTGTTTCACAGAGTAAATAAAGATTCAGTAACGATTACAAAGATACTACATAATAGAACCAAAAGTAATACTAATATAAAATTGTAAACCAAGTCACCACGAAGATAACTTTACTCTAGTTCAAGATAGGGTTGGATTAGTCCGGTCCAGTCCGGTCCGGTCCCAAAAAAGACCGGTCTTTCAGCCAGGACCGGACCAGTCTTTTGACCGATCCTTAAAATTTTTTAAATTATCTTATTTATAATAGCAGTATTGTTGGGTTGGATCAACGAGATAATGAAATACAGGTCGCACTAAAAATTATGAGATTAATTTATTATTTATTACCAGTTACCTTTGTTGTCAAATCTCAAAGTTTAAGAGTAAAATACTGGATAGAATTTTTACAACCATCAAAAAATATGAAAAAAAATTGCAACGGGAATAAAAGTAAATTATCAAATTGATGCTGACCATGTAACACAAAATAATTGCATATACGAAAAATTTTTATTTCTCGTACTTTAAGTCTTTAACATTTTAAAGCATCAATGAGGAATCGAATGATATTGATATTGCAAAATACCAACATATGAAAATTTTGATATTTTTAAAAGAAAACTTTATTAATAATATATAATTTAACATTTTTATATTAAATGATAATTTTATATAATCGGTCTCGGTCCGGACCGGTCCTCAAATCTCGGACCGAAAACCGAAGACCGGTCCCAAGACCGATACATTTCCTGGGACCGACCCCTCAAATGTCTGTCTATCCGTGCTGTGATTGGTTAATTTTATTCGCATCAATTATTAGATGTTTGCTACCTATCATAGAAGGTAATTCCTTCTTTGTAATCTCCTGCATTTCTTAATACGTTTGAGTCAGTCAAAACAATCTTTTGAGGTATATATTGTTAAGAGAATGTATGAAACTTTTAAATCGGTGAACGGTTGTTCAAGGGCGGATTTACTTTTAGTATTATATTCTATTTGCACATAGATTGAACAATTTTATTTTATTTTTATTTTTATTTCACAGAGTAAAGAAAGTTTCAGTACAGACCACAAGAGACTATATATAGGGTCGAAAGTTGTACAAATAGAAAACTGTAAATCAAGTCAACTTTATTCTGGTGGAAAGATAACGATAAGGAAAATTAAAGCTATAATAGTTAACATAAACAAAATAGCACGCACAAGAAAAATAAAATTGCGAAATAAAAACAAAACAATGTGAGGGGTCGCGTTTAACTCACCGACAATTACTTCACAGAACAAACGTTTCACCGACAGGGTTATTTCACCGACATATAAAATTAAATATAAAAATTTTATTAATATTTTTACATATACTGTATCTTTATGTGAAATGGGGATTTTTTTTTGTTAGTAACACGTATTTCTTTGTTAGATTTTATAAAATACAAAAAACTACTACTTTTTACATTAGTTTTTTTTTTTTAATAAATGTATTACTGTAAAAAATTTATTATATATATATTTTTTTGTTAGTTTTTATTATTTTAATGAAATTTATAATAACATATATAAAAAAATAAAAAAAATACAATAGATATAATTATATGTTATTCTATCTACTAACTCGTCTAAGATGAAAGTAAAGTATCAATACTAATTAAATCTAAACTAAATATCTAAAAAAAAAAGTTTTATAATAAAATATCTCATATTCAATATTAATTTTTTATGTCGGTAAATGATTGTCGGTGAAATAATTGTCAGTGAAATGAACCAGACCCGTTATAAAGTGGAACATTGAGATTACGATCCAAAAAAAAAGAGAAAGCTTTTCTTTTTCAACTGTTTTCGAGGACTTGAAACCGGAGTATGTATCCTTGTATTAAATTCCGTATAAATTCGTGCTGTATTATTATAAGGTAATGTAATAATAGCGCATAATATTATAATAATATTGTCTCAGTTTCACGTTTAGACTGTGGGACCTACCTTTGAATTGAAATTTTGGGGTGAAGGGTGAATTTGAACCCATCCGAAACGCTAGCGCAATCTTGTGTTCCCAAGGCCAGGTCGGATCCATCTGTGTAAAAATTGAAATTGTCATAAATGTAGTTGAACAATTGTATATAAAAAAATTCTGAAGTATCACGTGACAATAATGTGGTATTTCTAAGTGACGCCAAGGAATTTTATTTAATATGAAGTCTTAATATTTTAACATTTTTTTTTTAAAAAAAATTTGAATATTATATATATTATATCTATTAATTCTTAAGTTTTCTAATCTCATCTGCACTTCTGTAAAATAAATTTTTTGCATTTTTAAAAATTCCTTCCCCAGTTTTATAATTTTCAACGACTTCAATAGGATTAATAATGCTCAATGGTTTTCCAAGTTTTGCTACAAACTCATGAACGCTAAGTTTTTCCTCTTCACTCATTCCATCAATAAAAATATTAATTAAACTTGTTGATTTCCCTCCAAACGTTTCCTTCATTTCATCTTTTTCTTCAGTATCAACATCAAAACAATCTAATAATATTCCAAATGCATTTGAATATCCTTCACTATATAATTGTTTATATAATTCAGCAGCTTTTTCATAATCTTGTTCAGTACCTTCTCCCTTTTTATATAAAATTGCAAGATTACTTTTAGCTGATTTATGTCCTAAATCTGATGCCGTTTTATATAATTCAAATGCCCTCTGCTTATCAACGCTAGTTCCAACTCCTTTACTATAAAAAATTCCCAATAAATTTATTCCATTTAAATTTTTCCCTTCAGCAGACTTCGTAGCAAATTCAAAAGCTTTGTCATTGTCTTTATCAACACCATCTCCATTTCTATACATTCGAGCAAGATTATATTGAGCTACACTATGCCCTAAATTCGCTGCTTTTTGATATAACTCAAAAGCTTTTTCTTTGTCAATATCGGTTCCGATTTCCTTATGATAACATTCTCCTAACATATTTATTGCGTTTAAGTATTCTCCTTCAGATGATTTTTTTAGCAAGTTAAAAACTTTTTCATTATCTCGATATACAACTTTTCCTTCTTTATATATACAAGCAAGATTATATTGAGCTACACTATGTCCTAAGCCTGCCGCTTTTTGATATAATTCAACCGCCTTTTCCTTATTAACATCAGTTCCAATTCCTAAATAATTAAAAGCTCCAAGTAAAAAAATATGATTTGGATCATATTGATTATCTAATAACCACTTATAAACTTCTACTGATTTGATGTTATAAACTTCACAAGAATTACAAATGGTAGATACTTCCAATTTTTTCTCACCATTAAAAATAAGATTAGATAATTCATCAGCTATTATGCCTATTAATAATGAATTTACAAATGATGAATTCTCATCGTCTATTGATTCCTCATTATTTTTATTTTCTTGTCCGCCTTGTTTACTTTGCCCGTCTTCTTGATGTTGACTTACAGTATTATATAAATCATTTTCATTAGTTTCGTCGACTGAAAAAATAATTGCTTTCAATTGATCAAGCACTTCACTTATAGCTGGACGAAGAACTGGTTCTTTATTCCAACATTCTGGTAAAAAAAATTACCGTTAGATTTAAAAAGAAATTGTTATTAAAATATCAATAATATTAATAATTATTATTATTTATTATTTGAAGAATATATTTACCAGTATAAAGCGCAACATAAGCCTCGGGTGTATCAGGAATAGGTTCTTCTCTAATACCTTGTAAAATTTCAACAACTAAACCAATATCATACGCTTCACCATCATTATAAAAAGGTGGCTTACCACTAGATAACTCCCATAATAATACACCTACACTATATATATCACTCATTTCATTTAATTTGTATTCTTGATCCATTAATCTTTTTGGATCAATATAAGGAATAACACCAAATAATTTGAAAGATTGCCGACTGGACGTTTCTTCAATCCTCTTTGACAGTCCAAAATCAGCCAATTTAATCTTATTCTTAAGAACCAAGATATTATTGGAGTGCTATCATAAAAATAAATATAATACTTATTAATTCTTAATATACGTTAAACGTAATGGATTAGGATTAACATAATGATATAGAAGGGTAGAATGCGACAAGAAAAAAAAAATTATATAATTTAAAATAATTACCAAATCACTATGCACAATTCCCTCATTATGTAAACAAGAAACGGCACTAGCCAGCTGGTAAGCCATATTTAATTTATCTTTCCAAGTAATACTATCGAAATTATTCTTCAAATATTTTCGAAGCGTGCCATTATCAGCATATTCCATTACAAATGAATACCGGTTCAAGTTCAATAGATTATTTTCGCTTTCTAATAGTAAAAAAAAAAAATTTTTTTTTTAAAAAAGAGCATAATGTTTACGTCACAGCAATGTTAAATCTTGAGGGACGTTAAAACGATAAAAAGGCATAATAATATAAAAAGTTTATACCTGGCTCATATTTTGTAATTCCAAAGAAACGAATAATATTATTATGAAAATCAACTTCACGTTGAAGTTTTAACTAATTAAAAATTAATATATAGAAAGAATAACTAATCATATTAAGATTTTTTTAAAGAAAATGTTATATAATTATATATACAATAAATATAACTAATTACCTCACGAGCGATCCCTTTAATTGTAGCATCGTCAAAATTAAAAAAAGTTTTTAAGGCTAAATACTGTCCCGAATTTTTCCAACTTGCGCGAAAAACCTTTCCGAAACCTCCCGAACCAATTTCCTGAATATTGTTAAAATTCTCGAATTCATAATATTTAAAATACTTTTTAGTGATAGCTTCTTCAATCCAATCAATATCAGCCGAATAATCAACACTGGTATCGTCAGACATGGTAAATAAATTTATTTTGAAAAAAAAATAAAAGAAAAAAAAAATTTCTTTGTTCGTATCATTTAATAAAGCTGAAATTTCATTAATTGACGTTATTGGTTAGTCTGAGAATCCTTATTTGTAATCGCCGCATCTTTATCGATCATCTGACATGATAATCAAAAACTTAAAACATAGATTGCTTGATAACATGGGAAAAAATATGAAAAATAGGCTAAAATAAATCCAAATTCAGTATTAGCAGTTGGGGTGATAAATAAAAATTAATTATCATGTGAATTGCACGTTTTGCATAATACAATTCAAATATTGAAAAACCTTTAGCTATAATAATCCGATGATTAACCTCATACATATACTTTACATTTCATTCATGTACGCATATGACACCATTTCTAATCGTCATTTTCACCAAGAAATTTTCTGACCGCTATTTTTTCAAATAACCTGTGCACGCATCCTTGCTGTATCAATTTTATAACTTTAATCAATAAACGAAATTTCATTATTTTATATATAATTATTCATAATTGAGTTCTGTATAAAGAGAACAAAAAAAATGATCTTATAATAAGATAAATATTGCGTGAATAAATCTTTAAAATATTCCGGCAAAATGGACTGTGACAATTCGACAAAATAAAGTTGAGTCGGGAAATGATAGGTAAATGTGATGAACGTCAATAAATGCACTTGACTTTTATTTTCATTTTTCAAATATTATTATAATTTCTTAATTTTACCTAATTCATTACAGAAAAATTCTCAAATATTTTAAATATTAAAGATTATTAATAAAATATTTTAATTTAAATGTTTGTAAATTATTAATTTTAATAATTAATTATAGAAATAATGCATCTTTTAACGCTATAGTTATTTCCGGTACTACCGTTCAAATTACATTTGACCTATAATAATGTGATGATAGTTATGGAAAGCGTAGAGTTTTTATCTCACTAGCTCAACTTACTAAGAGACCCTCTCCTAACCATTATTTTTTAAAAGATGATTACGAAGGAAAACAAGGTCGCCTTGAACAGGCACTAATGTACATGACGTATAAAGATGTGAAAGCAAGGGTTTTATAAGTGATTAATTTCACTCTTGTATAAATAATTATTAGTGAATAAATTTTAATGATTTCTAAAACATAAAAATCATTTAATAAGTTATAATAAAGGTAATTTTTTATTATTTTCAGCAGTGCAATAGTGCGCATAAAAGGTAGAGAATTTAATTAACTATTAAAATCGGGGAAATTTTGTTATATTTCCTTTATAGACAAGTATGTATTTCTTAAATATATTTTCAAATATAAAGCTAAATATATACAAATGCACTTAAAGTTTGACACCTTTTCTAAAGAAATAAAAAATGTTTTATATGTGGTAAAGTTTTTTACACATAACTTCTAAACTTACGTATATACAAAGTCCAAAAAAGTAAAATTTACTTTATACTAAAGTGTCAAACCAACTTTTGATAAAGAAAATTCATGTAAAGATCTGTTTTATGATTTATACTTCCCCCGTATTTTATTAATTAAATTCTCTACTTTTTAGACAATACAATTCGAATGCAGTTTTTTTACTTGGAAGGTTTAAGTGATTTAAGAATTAGAACTAGGTCTAATAGACCTAATAGACAAAGGGCGCATAAAATATACAAAGCGCTACAAATTTAATGTATAAAGTTGAAGAGAGGGATAAGAACCGTGACGAATATATTAAGGAATAGACGCAATAGTACGCAGTTGCACTAACAACAGCAGAAATTATTATGCAAGAAATGCATGAAAATGTCAAATACAGAGTAAATTTCAATATTTCTAGTAAACTCATGATATATTTTATTAAAATCAATTACGTATGCTTTATAGTGTGTTTTTGATTGCGTCAAAACTAAAATCATCGGATCACGTGATTTATTATATGCTTATTTCCTTTTCTTTTTTTTTTATATACATTCAAAAAAGAATAAAATATTGGTCACTTATTCAAAGTTATCATCGATCTTGTAAATGTGTATTATTATATCGCGTCCTTGATGCAATAAATAAATTTTTTTTTTTTCAAACAATCAATCAATTCGTGCTAGACAAAGTGGTGCACGAAAAAAAAGAATATTAGATAAGATTGTTAAAAATATACTCCCTATTTTATGATTTGTAAATACACTAATTTAATGTAATACAGTTAAGTTCAAAGTTGAAATTAGGAATTTTATACAGGGAATCAGGGATTAAGGGATTATCAAATGATATTAAAAGATTGTAATAATAACATGTGATAGCTCAGAATTAACTTTTCAAATTTCAATAATAATTTCATTTTGCACATTTCTAACCATAAGTTTAGAGTAACTATCGACCTATATTTATTCACTACTAAAAAAATGATCCGATGATCCCAATCATCTTAATCCTAAAATATCTTACCCTTACCCCAAATTCTAAGGTACCAAAGTAAAAAAAGAAGGTGAGCGTTAAGGTTTATTTGGTACATCATCGACGGTTTCAATCAGGTTAGTCTGGGAAAATTAATCTATTGTACAAAATTCCATGTACTATATAATTTAAAGATCGACTAAACCATTTACAGCTTTAGAAAGAAGTTTTCGTTGATTAATATGTACGCATATATATCTTTTTTTTTTTTTTTCTTTAAATATTGAAATTTGTGTTCAGTAAACAAATTTTAACTTAATTATATTTGTCGATAATTTTAAATAAATATTATTTGGCCCACATCTTATTTTACTGAAATGCAGCTACAGAAAATTCAAATTAATGGATTAGTTGGATTGAAGAATAATAATACATCATGTAAATTATTACTATTACAAACATTTTAGTAACGTTCAAGAAATTGATTTCGGAGAATTTGGAAAAGTACATCGTGTAAATTGGAAAAATTTGGAAACTTTCCGCGAAAATGAAAATTTTTATCTATGACAAGATTATATTCGGACTAATAATAAATTGATACAATATGAATAGAAATTTCACAGAATATTATTTTATTAATTTGGATTGTATAATTTGAACATAGAAATTTCTTATTCTGTCATTAAAAAGTAATGTAAACAAATAATTTGCAAAAGCATTGATAATAATTTAACTACTAAATAATCAACTCTAAATTTGATAGTGATTTTTTTTTAATTTAATTAAGATCGTCTACAGAATAAAAGTCAAATTCTAACTCAAGATTATCATAAACTTATCGTTATTTAGTTAGTTGATTTTGCATCTGCTTGATCTCATTTCGTAATCTTTCGATTCTTTCTCGATACAACTCCGCTACCTTTGGTTTCAGTTTGCTCAGTCTAACCTCATCAGCATCTAAGTATCCCAAGAGTTTGTGACACTTATCCTGTGAACAAGTTTGAGAGATATTATACTCAGCTAATTTTATGCCTGCCTTAAACTGTCCAAGTTTTATTGCCTTTTCCATATACTCATGAGCCAATTTTAGACAGGCTTCCGCGTAGTGATATACTGCATCACTGCAGTCTTTATCAGCGGACTCTCTGTAATATTTGAGAGCCTTTTTATTATCTTTAGATACGATATACCCGTTTGCATAGTAATAGCCGAGGTAAAACAACGATTCTTTGTGACCGACATTTGCTAATTCATAGAAAATGCGAAAGGCTTCTTCGCGCTTTTGACTTTGATGATAGCCAACTGCTTTTTTGTATAATCCGGCTTCATCAAGTTGAATGTTGTCACTATCCGAATTTAGTGTTAAATCTTTAGGCTCATCCTTCACAGGATAAACGTCATCATCTTCCAAACACTTGGAAAGCCCCTCATACATTATACTTGCTACCGGGCGGTAATTGCTATCGTTATCCCATGCCTTTTTCATGATATTCTGGTATTTAATTGGAATGTTTTCATCTACAGGTTTCGGGCGGTTTCCTTCCATGACAGAGTCCTCGATTTTTTGGAAGCTCTTAATGTTTGCGTACGGCTTTTCTTGCATAGCAATTACCCAAAGGACAATTCCAAGGCTATTACAAGAATTATAAGATCGTGATACATCAGTTATTGATCGATCCTTTATATCTTAGAAGAAGACCATATATAATTTACCTAAAAATGTCACACTCTTTCGTGTAAGGATTCTTTTTATCTTTGATTTTCTCAGGTGCCATGTATCTATAAAGTATGTTTTATTACAAGCATTATTTATCAGCGGCAAATTCCAGAAAACTGTAACAATCCGTACAATACCTAGCAGCGTCTGCCAATTGAAGACCAGGAACAGTATTATCTTGTTCTCTTCGGCTCAGTTCAAAGTTCGAGAGCTTTGGGCACAAATGTGCATCAAGCATTATATTGGAGCTCCTAATATCATGGTGGAGGATATCTCGATCATGACAGAATACTACCCCATTAGCTATACCTGTAGCGATGTTGACTTTTACATTCCAGTCGAGCCCCGGATTTCGCAACAAATATTCTTCAAGGTTACCATGTTCGCACCATTCAGTGATCAAGTATTGATCGCCGCTCAATTTATAGATACCGAAACTATAAGTAAACGAGGTTATTTAAACGGAGAGAAAAGCACGTAAAGCAACTCATGAACAGCACTTACAATTCTATGACATTTTTACAATCAGCTAACAACTTGAGCATATTAATAATTTTACAAGAATTACTATCACAAGAATCGAGAAGTTTTTGCGCAACGTCCTGTGTGAGAAATTTTTTCTTCGAAATATTACCCCGAATAACTTTTGGCTGATTGCGCAACTCGCTTATCTTTTTATTGTCTAAAATAACATCATTGATTTGCCAATCACTTATTTTCAAATCATCAATGTCAAGTTTCATGGTAAGTATTCGGATGAGCTTTCGAAGTTGCTCCGGTATCTCATCCTTCATTTTCGTAACGATTTGATGCGTGCCTTTCAAGACCGATAAAAAGAGTTCATCATTGGCAGCATCGAGTTTCTTATATAGTATTATAAGCTTTTCTTCAACCTGAATATATGCAAGGTATACGTTGAAACAAAACAGAAGATTTAATAGCAACGTCTTAATTTCACAATAAAATTTACCTCTTTGGCGTTTACAACTTTCTTTGTAAGTATCCAAAGTTTGAATTTTTGTTTACTTTCAGATATCAATTTAATATCGTCTTCAATTTCTCTTAACACTTTTAAATAACGCTCCAGGACTTTCTCGTCTATGTCATTAGCAGATTCTTTCAGAGTCAATCTTGCATTATCTAAGCGCTCTCCAATAAAGGCGCAGAGGGCCTTATTAAACATAGCTTTCTGAATTAAACACGTTATTCTATCAATAGCTGTGATTGCACCGCTGACAACGGGTATTACACCACCGACGATAACACCCGTCGTAACACATATTTCCGTGGCATTAATTACGGCGCTTCTCGTGGTCATTTTAGATTGTAAAATTTTAACATTTGCAAATACTAGAGAAAAGTACATAGCAGTGACCTTTCATATTTATATGATTTTGGTATTTTTGATATCAGATAAAAACAATATTTAGAAAGGCAAACCATCCGTCTATCCGGATAATATATATTGCTTGATATGGATATATCAGCGTTAATCTTTCAAGTGGCTGAATACTACATGTATTGATAACCAATAGAATTGCAACATGTTGCATCTAGCATTGATTTTTATTATTTCGTATATTTGTTTATAATAAGAAAAATGAGTTGACAGTTACACACAAAAAACACGCATACGCACAATGAACGGAAATATAGAAATTTAGTTGAACCGTTGAAGTGTATAAAGTGAATGAAATAACATATCGGTCTGATCAAAAAAATAGTGTGCCCTATTTTTTGTTATGTGTGACATAAATGTCATATAATCATGAGAATTATTGTCGATCCCTAAATATCTTCAACTCCCCGAACAAAACTTTTTAATATGTAATAAACTGAGGAACCGATCAAAAATGAAAGGAACGGATCAAAAAATCTCAAGAAAGAAACCGGGAGAGTTTTATTGCAAGTAAGTTTTATTTGCTTTTATTTAAAAAAAGTGAAATATTATTATTATTATATAGTTAAAAAGTATTACTTTTACGTGTTTGATTTTTTTTTTAATTACTCTAATACTTGTATACAACTGACTAACCATCTTTCCTAAACTTTTTCCAAATAGATTTTACTTTATAATTATCAGAAATTTGAAGTGTTTGAAATAAATGATAGATATATAACAAATATTCTTCATTAATTCGTTAATGATGAATATAGTGTTGTCCAGATTCATAATAGATTTCTTAGGATAGTTAGATAGTTATTAGAATAGTTATAAATTTAATAAGTTTTAATTGTTAAATATTTGAAGATGTGAAGGAATTTTTAAGTCTTTATAATTAAAATAATAATTAAATTTTATATATTTTACGCGAAACTTTTTACGCGAATATCTCCAAAAAAAAAATGGGGGACTTCTTTTGATCAGCCTGGACAAAACATATTTCCAATTTTATTTGGTGTACGACAAAAATTAACTACACATGATCGCATTTGACCTAAAGAAGATGTCTAATATTGTGTAACTGTACATCAAGTTCGCCATATTCAGGGGGCCTTACACAGACAACTTACTTGGAAATTCCTAAAATAAGAAATATCGGCAAGGTGTTTATTTTGTTATGGAATGTTCTTGTGTATTTGTTAATTATGCTTTATTGATTTTTTAGGTAACTTTACCCGCCGATCTTACCGTACTGTTTCTCTGGATGTACTGTATATATTAGGTACGGAAATAACACTTTTTTTTTTTTTTTTTTTTTTTTTTTTTTTTTTTTTTTTTTTTTTTTTTTTAATTTTTGTATTCATTTTGTCTATAATACAACTGTAATGTGATTAATCATACCCAAAGGTTACATACCTTACTTATTATATCATATCGTACCATACTACTTTATCATATACTCGGGAATATATTGTGTTAGTGCCGGTATATATTAAATCTATTATCAGTTACACCCAATGTTGCACGGTGCTTATTTTTTGCGTCACATTGTATTATTTATAATAGGTATCAAGCAACTCCTGAATTTACTAACATGGACAATACGGAGAATACGGAGTTTAGCGCTGATGATTTTACTTCTCTATTCGACTCCAATGGATTGTTAAAAGATAAGTTAGAAGGATTTAACGAAAACCAAAAGAAGCTTCGCTCTCTTAATGAAAAAGCTAAAGATGTACAAGAGGAGAACTTGAAGCTCAAAAACGAAGTAAAAGCTTGGGTAAACCGGAAAGGTCAAATAAAATTAGCCCAGTCAAATATAGACAATTCTTATCCATCAGAAGTACCTCCTAAGGGCAAGGAAGACGATAAAACTTATCAAGAAAGGTATGCCATAGCAAAGGAATTTATTTCCGGCTGGAGAACCTGTATAGATGAATTCGAAGATTATCAGAAAAAATGTGATGAGTTTGGAAAGCTTTTCGAGGAGACTACTCAGAAAAACAAAGATAGTATTAACAAAACCCTCAGTCAACTTTCGAAATTGAGTAAATTGAGTCTACCAGGTGGAAGCTTTCATCCTCTGATATATCGTCTTTTTAAGCATTCTTATCATACCAAAAGCCGAGGTTGTTGTAACTTGGGTTTTTTCTCGAAGTAAGTTAAATAACGTTCATTGTTAAGTAGATTTGATTCACGTACTCAATCCAAATTATCAAACAATATTCTTATTCATAGACTCAACACGATGTATCAGATAGAGAATCTTTTCATTGAAATCGGTGTTAATCTGAACATATATCAAGATGACATAACTGCAACCGAAGATAAGATTAAAGAATATCGTGAACTGCTTGATAAAACAGTTCTCAAGCTCAATAGGATACGAATGGCTAGGACTCCAGCTTATAGTAATCAAGCACAACAATGCTTTGTATGCAACAGACCATATGTATTTATTAAATGGTGCAAGTTCTGTGATATTGAACAGTTTAAAAAACAGTTCTCCAATTGGGGAAGTGGCAATCCAGAGTTCGATAAAATTATCCATGACTCTCAGCTTTCTATCAAATATCCAAATGGATTTATACAATGGATCCCTTATGAAAAATTTGTTAATGTTGAATTCGTAGGTCGTGGTGCTTATGCGAATGTTTATAAAGCCAATTGGGTTGAAGGACTCGGTACCTGGGATTATGCTCTTGGAAAGAGAGTTCGATATCCAAACACACCTGTAGCTTTAAAAGAACTCAAGAATTCAATACACATCGGTAAAGAGTTTCTTGAAGAGGTAACATAAGCATTTATAAAGACGTGGATAGCTTGAATTATTATATTAACCATTTGTACATTAATTATTTTAGGTCACTGCCTATATCAAGTCATCTTCTAGTACAGTGCTTCGTTGCTATGGTATCTCAAAAAATCCTAAGACTAATGAATATATCATGGTTTTTCCTTACGCCCACGGAGGCAATTTAAGAAATTACATGAAAAAAAGACTGAATTGGTTAAACAAATTAGATATTTTACGACATATTTTATACGGACTAGCTGATATTCATATTAGAGGGTTGGTTCATCGTGATTTGCACCCAGGAAATCTCCTCCATTACCGAAGGACCATTTCTGTGTCTGATTTAGGTCTTTGTCGTCAAGTTGATGATGTAACATCATCTGATGAGATATTTGGCGTTTTACCATTCATAGCTCCAGAAGTTTTAAATGGAGAACCTTACACCCAAGCATCAGACGTCTATAGTATTGGAATAATTATGTGGTTCATTACTTCGAAAGAATATCCATTCTATGATCGTGTATATGATAAATACTTGGCTAGAGAGATATGTGAAAACCTTCGTCCGAAGATTCTTGATGAAACACCACCAGATTACAAGGAATTGATGCAAAAATGTTGGGACAAAGATCCAGATAAACGTCCAACTACTAAGGATCTGTATCAAAAAATATTATTCTGGCTTAATGAGTTCAACAAAACTCCCTTACCGGACACCATACAACAGTTTATCACAAACAAACAAAATTCATTTGACGAAGTACACGATTCTAACGTTGAATATGCGAGTCAATCTGTAAAAACACAAACTATTAAAGATCCCATCATAGAAAAACTGGCAGCGAAAATAAAAAAAGGTAACAGATTCGGGTATTGTTGATATTCGATATATTTATAGTTAAAAGGTTATGTGGTAAACTCACTTTATACAACTTATTGTAGGCACAAATTCTGATAATGATGATAAAAAATATGAAGACGAAGGTAAGATGCTAACCCTTATCAAATTGTTTTTGACGCTGTAATTAACTAATTCATATATTAGCTGACGAATGGAATACAATCCACATTAATGACTACCAAAATTGGTTGTGTAAGTACGATATTTAAGCGATGTGTGTCAAACTTGTTGATTCTAATACATTTAACTATGATAGACGAACTTGATATCATGCGTGATTTCTCCGAAGGAAAAATTGCTTCCATTGTTACTAATGAGATTCCTCAGTTAAATTATGAACCACCACCGCCACCAACGCCACCAACACTGCCGACGCCACCGACGCCATCGACAGGTGAAAATACAACAACGGGTGAAAGTAAGTTATTGTGTGCTTGAATATAGTACGTTGATTTAAAGCATTAAATAACATAATGTATCATTCCTTTAGGTACTTCAGGTATACAAATCACTCATTCACTTGAAGCATTTACGGAATCATTAAAATAAATTCGGTGGATAATTCAATACGGCGTGTCTGTAAAATAAAATTGATTTAACTAAAAGAAAAGAAAAGATATATTTACTTATAAATAAATATAACAAAATATGTTTATTTGCTTTCTATTTAACAAAATTTGTTGTCAAGTTATAATTTTTCAAATAATATATTTAATTTAAGTCCCTGTTCTATCTCCTTTTTCTACGGAATCTCAATGTTCATCAATCCGTCCCGCCCATTTATGTTTAATGGATACTTCTAGTATCGCATCTCTGAGTTATTATCCCAAAACTTATTAATCAAATCTTCCCTCGAAGCTATACTTCTTTGGAAGAGGAAGGGATTATAGATTGTTTCTGCCTGATGCGTCTAAAGCATTCCAGCCATAAAAATATTTATAGTTAATTTTCTTTAATATAGTCATATTTATTGCTGAAATTAATTCCGAGATTAATGGATGGTTTTTTGCGTCGAAATTTACCAAATGGATCAAATCATATTGATGGAATGCCGTTAATCTATCCAATGGGATCACTTGTCATATTTTCATGAAATTTAGCTTGCAAAACTTGTTTCCAGTACAAGCTGTAGCCCAGATACATTTTTATATGCGCTCCATCAAAACCAACCTATCTGAATTTCTTGGTTGAAACTTTCCATTATATGCGAGTTTTTCACCTATTTCCATGTAGGATATTCTAGTGTATGCAAATTAATTGCATGAAAAGCAGATAACCATTCCAGAATCAGTCTCCTATTAGCAAGATGCATGATGTATCATTACTTCTGTAGCATAAAAACGTTTCTTTCTCATTAGAAATGTAGAAATTTTTTCTCCTAAAATACATCAAGCAATCCTAAATACTGTTCTTCTGTAGTTTTGCAGTGCATCTTGATAATCAACAAATATTTCTCAAACAAAACTATTTTGTGTAAATTTAGTAAATAATTTGTACATCAAAAATATACTTCACATCAGTATTTATTTTTCATCAAAAAATCGCTGTGCGAGTGGCGCATTTCTGTGCGGTGAATCAATTGCGCCCCAATCATAAAAGAGTAATAAATTCAACAAAGTTACGAAACATACAATTTTTATTTGAATATGAATTTTGTAACAGTGTGATAGAAATCTAATCTCCAAAACACAATTTATGTATAATTTCTTAAAATCTCAAAAATCATTTTTTCCTATAGAAACGTAATCATGACTTTCTCCTTCAGAGATTAAGGCGCAGTAATATCACTACTACATATTCAATCTCGTCTTTATGGAGAAACTTACCCATTGTTTCACCACAACATTGTCACATAATTTCTCATTCATATAATAATCTACAGTATTCGATATATTAAACAAAATTTGTCCATACAAATATTGTTAATATTTATTATTTTTATACAACCATTACAACAAGTAATCATGAAGTTGTAGCACGATCCTAATATGTTATATATACTATTTCAAAAATTAGGTATAATTGTTATCAAATACTTCATTGAATATTTAGACGACCCCAAAATTGGATATCCGGATTAACGGATCCAGTCTCATATATACTAGCTGAACGATACATAAATGGCATAATAGATTTTTTTATACAATCTGAACTATTAGCCAATCAAACGATTGGCGATTATCACGTGAACATTAGACAAAAAAAAATTCTAAAAAAAATATCAAACTTTACAAACCTAACTATAGAAAAATATTTTGGTTATTTATACGGTTGGATCGGTCCTGGCAAAGACCGATCCTAGGACTGGTCTTCATGGTCTTTGGCTCATGATTTGAGGACCGGTCCGGACCTCTAGTTATTTAAAAGATTTTATAAAATTGGACACACCATTTTAGATTAGCAAGTCCGTGACCAGATAAATATAAATAAACGACTCAATAACAAATTTTCGTCATTTTGTCAGTTCAGTTAAATATATAAAAAGAAGGTTGGGCGGTGATCCTATAACTCTATTTGTGAATTTATTTTAATAAGAATGTTCTTCTTGTATCATCGAAATGAATCTTTATATCACTAGAAACAATTACAATTTGTAGTTGCAGTCATGATAAATTGATAAATGTCATTGAGCCTTTTATATATATCATCGTATTTTATTATTAATTTATTTATTAAATTATTAAATAAAATCATTATAATTACTACTTATGTATTTAAATTATTAAATAAAAAATTATCAGTTATACAACCACCATTGTTTGCGGGAATTGAACATTTACTATCTTTGATTTTTTTTTTGTACGTATGTTTTTTGTCCATTATTGATAATAAAATTTCTAAATTAATTAAATTCTATGCCAAATTCTCACGTAAGTACTGATGAGATATAATTTGTGGTAGTAGCTTTGCGTAATACAAAATATACTATACAAGCTGATTTATGAGATCAAGCTTTACTTCGCGCTTGGTTAATAATTTCAATTAAATGTCTTATTGATGATTTATGCTATTGCCATTAATCGCATCATTTCCAATCGCTTTATTTCCAACATCTTTCTAACACCAAATCAAAGCATTGTCTATCTTTTGAAAAATCAACTTGTCGAATTATGCTCTCGCATGAAAATGATTCAAGGATAATAGGTTTCTTAATATATGCTCTTTCACTTACATAAGAACTTCCACTTACTAATGCATCAGTATTGTCACTAATCTTTTTATTAACAATGGAAGTACTGCCTTTCTTTTTACAGCTTTTTCCTTTTTCGTTCCCGAATACTCTGCTTTTTTCTTTTCGATATAGTAATCAATATAATGTGGAATAATATCCTGAAAATCCCATATATAAATTTGCCTTGCTTGATTCCCGTTGCAAGCATTTGATAGTCATATGAAATTCCAAAGCAAAGAAACCAAATATCATGATGTTCAAATTCCATTTAAATCAATTTGTAATATAATTTTGTTATTATACTTTTATAGCCGATCCTACACTTAGTGTTTAGAATTATAATAATTCCTGTAGCTTCAGTAACAGCAAGTAATGGCGCTCCCACCTCTGGGCATAAAAAATCTGACCTGACAGGTGTACAAATCGTCTCCCTATAGCCTTCCAATAGCATATTATAATGGTAGCACTTGCTGGGAGAACAAGCATGAGGAGGTGCGTAGTAATGACAAATGTGCCATTCAGATCAATAGACCAAGCGCAGCAATAATAATTTTCTTCTTCCTACGATATAAATAAACCAACTAATATTAATATATTAAAACCATAAAAAAGATACACATATGTAAATTCGATTTAAACAACTTACATTTTCGTCCACATAAGTTTGAAATATACTAAGTGCCACTTGGCATCGTCAAAATGGGCAACTATAATCTAGGAAATAAAAAATTATATAATAGAAAGTTAATAAGGGTGATTAAAATGGTGCATTAAGCCAGACGAATAGGATTTTCTGTTTAACACAGTATTCAGAAATGACCTGGTCATTTGACCATTTTTCGGATTAGGAGTCATTTGGTCAAATGACACCCCTTCATTTGGCATTTGGCATTTGAATTATTCGTGAAATGACAAATTCCAAATGATTGGGCTGTCATTTGCGTCCTTTGTTATTTGATCATTTGTCATTAAAATATTTAAAGATTATTGGACAATTTATAATCATGTGATGTACAAAAAAGGAAGGACGTAATCGAAATAATCACAAACAGAATCAATTTCGGAAACTTCGGGAAACTCTGGAGAATGATCACTCTGACCATTTTTTTAGCTAAAGAAATATACTATATAAACTATTTTTTCTACATACAAACCTGATCTAATTTGTGATTTTTTGGACTCTACACTCTTGTTTACATTATTTACATGAGTAAAAACACTCGTTCCAAGTTTTCTCAAAAAATTCTAAAAAATATCGAAAAAACATATCATTTTTCTACCGACAAAGAAGATATATATAGAACTTTCGCTCCTAACGTTAATAATAATAGAAATAGAAAAATGTCGAACATATCTACAACAAACAACGAAAATAGTCAGAAGACAGCCGAGCCTGCTTTGACTTTACCTTCTCGAACTTCCTCCTCCGTGGAGCAAGTCTCTGGGAAAAATTCCTCAGAAACACGTGACTTCAACGCCCATTTACCAACTGCACCAATCATTGAAACGATTAATGATACACAACAACCTTTAGAAGGATCTACATCCATTAACGGTAATCCACCACCAATCGAGGAAATCCCCATGATCGACAACATATTCTCAGCCTCAAATATACAAGCACAAACTTCTTTTGAAGGGTTTATCCCACGAGATAGTTTTCCGCCAAAACTTACAGACAAAGAAATTTTACAAAAACTCAACAACATCTTTGTCGGAGACAAAGACTTTATTAAAGTTAGATCCCTCAAAAAAATGACATTCAAATTTTATATGATATCTGTGTCGACTAAAGACAAATTGTCATACCTTATCAAAACATCACCTCCAGAACTTCAAAATGTTAAAATTTATGAATATACACAACAAAATATAGATACCTTAATTGAACGTAAACTCCAATTACAAGATAACACGATCATCAAAATATTAGATATCCCTATCAATTACGATGTCACATTATTAATAAAACAAATAACTAACGTAACGGGAAAAAGAATCGCAACTTACAAAGAAATTAGAAAACTACCTCAAAAAATCCAAAACCGGAACAAAAATGACAAACCAATTTTTATCAAGCTGAGCTATAAATAACTAATAATTAGCTTTGAAGACAAAGCAGCGGCAGATTACCTATTAGAACAAGACTGGTGCTTAGTTATTAAGGACTCAGTAGCCAGAATCCTACCAGGCAATCCGAAACATCCAATATACACACAACAAACCTCTGCTTTCTATAAAATCACTGGTTTACCTTTAAACACGAACGCAAAAGATTTAAGCCCTTTAGTTACACATCTAAAGGGACGAACGTGTACATTTACTCAAACCTCACGCTCATCATTCTTCAAGAACGCATTTATATACGTTCACTCTGATGATATTAAAAAAGATTACACTACAATCACGGGTACAAAATTTGGAGAATATACAATCTTTATTTTTCCTTACACAAATACCAAAAAAACATGTAATGTATATGGTAGTCACATACACGAATATAAAAACTGTACTAGTACAGATTTCACCTTAGACAAAAATGAACGAAAAATTTTCAAAAAACGTTTCATCATGCGTAACAAGGAATGCATAATGATCAATGAAACAACTAGACAAAATTATAACCACGTCATAAGACTCTCCAGCCAATAATAATTCTGGTAAATCAAACATACAATCTCGCCCTCAACCTGATACACAAGGAAAACAAAAACAATCCTATAATAACATTAAGAAAAACCTGGACGGGACACATCAAAAGTCTACTTCATCCTGGACTCAACAACAAATTCCTTAAGAAATCCTAAACAAAATCGCACATATGGAACAACAAATTACTACTTTAACAAATCATGTTAACGTACTACAAGGTTCCCACCAAACGTTCACGGATTAATACTCATCACATCATCAACAATTGACCACGATTGACACTAACATAGCCTTGCTCACACAGAGACAAGGTAGTCTAGAAAATCAACACAAAAGCTTGATGACACAAATGCAAACACTCATTGACACCTTACAAGTATCACAAACCTCACCCCTTCGACTACAACCAGTCAGAAAAGCCAAGCGTACTAGTATCCCATACAAAAAAACTCCTCTAAAAGAGGTGAAAAAATGGTTCATCCAACCATCTGCCGAACCGGCCATGGAAGACAGTAATGCACTCCCACTCTCAGACGAATATTATACTGAATCTGGGGAGGTCTCCGATACAGGCATCATTGAAAACACATATGAAGCGTCTGAACAAGATACCTCAGGACAATCAAGCTTCATACTTAACCCATTCAATTGCGGTAATAAACCTCAGGTTTAAATTGTGATTTATTCTTTATAATCATAAAGAAATCGGACATAATGTTTGATTCCCCTTATTGTTTTTATCCCAATTTTTTGGTTTACACACATTTCAATTTTCAATTTACTTTAAAAATGTCATACAACAACTTAAATATATCTGACCCCTTTCCTAATACTTCACATTCTTTCTCACAAACTTCCGATCACTTGATCAATGAAGAACACATTACAAATTTGCACGTGATCAATCAAGAAAATATTAATAAAAATTTTTTTATCGATTATATCAAAATAGGCAGCATTAATATTCAAACAGCCTTCAACAACAAACTTAACGACATCATTAATTATTTTGTCGGACACAATTTTGATATTCTTGGTCTATCAGAAACTGGTCTCTTTGGAGATCAATCAAACACTATTATTAACAAACACAAACATCCTACTTTACCTAACAATTTTATATACATAGTTCATGACACTTCTGGTTCAAATAAAGGCTCAGGAGTCGCCATCATGATTACCGATAAAATGGAAAAACATTTACAACATACAGAATTTCTCGAAGGACGTATCATCAATCTCATCTTCGGTTTCAAGAAATCAAAACAACTGAATGTGACTTGCTGCTACCTACCATCTAGCCCTAAGAATGATATCACCAAATCTAAAATCAGCGCTATTTGCGTCGACAAATTGAACAAATTAATTACCAAATCCAACAACACCAAAAATTCATACGCCATTGTTATCGGCGACTTTAATGTAACAACAAAAAATAAATCAGATCCGAATTATCCTTCCATCCGTTTACTTAAAAATAACGGATACAAAGATATGATTAAATATCACCAAGAATCTTTAGATAACAATTCAACTCATAACACAAATAGAATTGACTATCATTTTGGAAATACATATCTATTAGAACAATCAATTCATTCTTATACACAATCGATACCACAATCTTTTTTCAATACTGATCATAACATTGTTATAACCCTTTTAGAAAAAACTTTTTTCGATTCAAGAAACAAACATCTATTTGATAAGTTCATGAATGTCCTTCCTTTCAACAAGCGGAATGAAGAAGCTAAAAAATTCTTCAAATACGACCAAATGACTAAAGAATTATGGTCCTCATATACGAATCGTAGCTGCTCAACATTCAAAAAAAGATTTTCTAAAGAACCACAACAGATTAATAACAAAACATCCTTAAACTGACAATGGGATCTCTTTGAGAAAACATTAATCGAACTCAAAGAGGACATTATACCACAAAAAACTATTAACTCAAATACATCATCAAATATAGATTTGCCTTTAGAATTACGACAGATGAATAATCACGTGATTCTTTTATATCAAGTCAAACAATTTTTAAATCTCAAACATATTAAAATCCGTTTCAAATTGAACTTTACACCCACATTATCAACTTTACATAACATCCCACAACATATATGGAATACCTACTACGAAGGATGGATGAAATACCTCCCTCGCCTTAAAGTCTTATTAGACTTCAACAAATTATCAATTACTTTACCATCAACTGTTACTCCTTATAATTTTGTATCAACAAAGGATGAAATTTACCAATTATATCATACAATGAAGACCGCTTACAAATCTGCGTATGATAAACACCTTTCAGACAAAATAAGTTCTTATGTTATAGAACGTAATGATAATTTACAACACAATCAAACCAAAATGATTAATTCTATTTTAAATCGTAAACCACGTCGTATCGTGCTTGATAGACTTTCATTCATCGACAACAAAGGTGATTATGTATTTACTAATAATCCAGAAATTATAGAAAAAGAAGCCATCAAACATTTCCAACATCAAGCGGGGCCTCCAAATATCAAGGATATTATGAACCTAGACTCCCTGCCACAAGATTGGAAAGATCATTATGATCATACTTTACAAAATATCAAAGAAGAATGGTGGAATAATTTAATTGAACCAATTACTTTAATGGACCTTTCCTCCATTTTTAAAAAATTGAACAACAATAAAGCGCCAGGTCCTTCTAAAATCACATACGAAGACATCACCCATTTACACGAGGAAACTTTAATGATTCTCATTAAAATATTTAACGCTTGCATAACACTTAAAGTGATTCCAAATAAATGGAAACATGCTTTACTCTTTCTGATACCGAAACTACACGATTGGAATTGTAAATTAACCAATACAAGGCCTATAACTCTCTTGGAAATTCCCAGGAAATTGTTAGTCAACATTATCTTGACAAGGTTAAACCAAGCGCTTTCTAAACACCCAATTTTGCAATTCAATAACAAAGCGGACGTCTTAGGCCAATCAACTTTAGAACCACTTATGATTACACAACATCTAATAGAACACGCACGTATTAAGAAAAAACCCATCTGGATCGTATTACAAGATTTATCAAAAGCATACGATCACGTCGATTTACGATTATTGAAATTGGCACTAGAACGGCCAAAAATCCCTGATATTATTATCACTTTTTTTCTTAATTTATTCACTGATAGATATAATGAAATCATAACCACGAACGGCTTGATGCCATCTTATGCAGTTCTCCAAGGCATCGACCAAGGCGAAGTTGTTTCACCACTCCTTTGGAATATATATTATGATCTGATGTTTCATCGTATCAATCAATTGACTCATTCACACTATTCTACTTTTGCGATACAAAAGAAAAATTGTTAACACAAAGATAATGATATCATTCATACATATGATATCTCTGTAGTGGACTACTTAGACGACACTACATGGTTTGGCTCTTCGCAATTACAAATCGAAGAAAAATTATCAATAGCCAATTCTTTTACGATCTTAATAATATCAAAGTTAATATGGATAAATACAAAATTTTAACAAATGATCGCTCCATCAAACAACCAAATATTACCCTTACAATTAACAATCGACCATATGAAATACCCATCACGTCACGCAATAAAGGTGAACGCATCTTGGGCTTATATATCAACGCATTAGATAAACAAACACAAACGATACAAAAGGGCAAACAAATAGTGATGGCTCATTACAACATCATGAAAAACAAAAAATTGACGCATCACCATATACAATATATTATTAACAAAATAGTTATACCAAAATTGGAGTATATTTTTCAACATACGATCCTCAATCTAAAACAATGTCAGTCTCTGATGGGACCATTAAAGAGATTATTCAAACAATGTTTGAACCTTTCATCGAACACAGCGGATAATATTATTTACAACAACATGTTTCAATCTATTAACAACTTCTTTGATATACAAATGAAATAACAACTTAATATTTTAGGTGCACTTTTTAATACACTGGTACTTCGTGAAATAGCGATTCAGAAAATATACAACACGATATTAGAAATCTGGTATTCTACTATTCGGTCCAACATTAATACATACATGGACCATATTGCAAAGCCTACCTACCTAACTAAAGCGTTAGGATTAATAAATCATTATGGATTTTCAATTAATTTCACATTTGATATCAACATTTTAGGAGGAAATACCCCTATACGAGATTATATGTCAGATCTTTCTACCGCTGACATTCAATCTTTAAAAGCCAAAAATATTATCTATATGGATCAGGTCATTTCATCAGATGGAAACTATTTACTTTCATGGCCTGATGTAAAAAGAAACAATAATAACAATTACAGCGGACCAATCCCAACATGGTACAAAAAACTAACGGACAATTATGTACTTAGTAATAATTTACGCTTAATCCACCCTCTTAACGATGTTGTGTGTGACATCAGTAGAACACACAAATCACCTTCAATTATCCCAGCTATTACTATACCTAAATCACAATGGTCAATACACTGGAATAATGTACAAAAACAAGTTATTTTTGGAAAAACTTTATCACAAGATACAGATCGTTCAACTTCAATTTCTTATTTACAACATTTTATACCCCAACAAACCCATCACGATAATAATTTAACACCCAAAAAACAATTACTTGGCCTTATTGCGTGTAAGGGCTGCCTTTTACATTCCTACTATCCGCATGACACTCGTCCAACATACGTTATTGCAATAAGAACACAAAAATTATTGTTATTTAATATTTTTAAAAAATCCTCTTTTGAATACAAATCGTTATTAGAATATTATAATCACCAAACTTTCGTAGTAGCTACGAAACCTTTTCATACTCTTAGACATATTGCGTATGAACATTTTATAAAAATAGATAAATCCCCTTTAAATACTTCTTCACAACGTCCTTTAGACGTTACTTTAACACCAAATACTTCTTCACCCTCGAATAATATAGATAATCATATTGATCACGCTTTAATTTGCCACCCAGATCTCAAAATAGAATTAAAATCTTGTGCCAAAAAACTAGAATCAGAAATTTTATTAACATTTTATACAGATGGTTCCGTCCAGTATATTGGCACTACCCATAGTATTAGTGGATACGGATGGACCCAGGTTCAACCTTTTACACCGCGAATTAACTTCAAAGGATCTACTGTCTTTTTCCCTTCCTCTTCCAAAAGTGAAAGTATGGGTATACTCACGGCACTTATAATATCTCCTTTCAATTGTAGAATCAACATTTATACTGACTCAGCCAATTGTATTAATATTTTCAATACGCGTATGCAATCAGGCATCGTCAGCCCACGACAAAAATTGAAGCAATCAAATTTTTTAATATGGGACTTAATCTTTTTCTTAATAAATGAAAAACACCTTGAATGGTTAAATTCTAATGATCATGATGCTCTGTGTAGCATCAAAGTTTCTAAACAACAAGGAAACAGAATTAAAAAATGTAATTTTATATATCTGACAATTGATATACAACAACGTAATTATCCTCGTCTGTACTCTCTCGGTAGTATACCATGTATTGAATGCGCTTATGCTCGCGATGATAATGTACACGTGGGCTTGTGCAAGGAACACTCAAATCAAATTATTAATATATTAACACAAGCTGCTCATGATTTACAAGAACTTATTATAACGAATACTAAAGATGCAGGTTTCGATTTGGATGATACTATACGTAGTTCTCCTCTTTTTAACACGACCTTTGATGATATTTTACCACAATCACACCCAGGATATTTACTTATACATCATTTGGTCCTGAGTGACCTTACATTAATTTTTTATAATTATATTAAAGACAAAAAATTACGATTTTCTTTATTTTTGAAATTTTTTTCAACTTTAATGTCTTCAATTGATACACTTATTTGGTCACGTCGTGCTTCCTTAATTAAACAATGGGAAAGTACTTTATCCATTACTAAAAACAAAAAAAGATTTTATAGACAACGACAAAAGAAAAGAGCTCCTCCTCCTCCTGCTCCAGACGTTTCCACTCAAAATTCATCTCCGTGTCGAAATTATAATCATCGACACGTTGCTACAACTCCTTATTATAGGGACGGTATCTTCCATGATCATCACGCCCATATTCGTTAAATGACAAGTAATTATTTACATTCGGGACTTATAGGGATAATATAGGGTTCAATAATATAGATTTATTTCTTATTTTACAAAATAGTTTTCTAAAATATGTCTTTGACATTAGATAGTTTATTTTTATTTTTTATGGCTCGACTAGTGCTATTAGGTGGGTGTTCTTGGAAAAGTTCTTGGTTCTGACTCGTATTCACCTATATCTATAAAGGACAGAATTTGTCACGCTTCGGGGTGGCTTGACGTGTAGTGATAGAATTACATATAGACTCATTTTATGTTGTCCGCGTAATTGAATCTACTGTTTCGCTTTTCTGTTTTCTAAAAATAAAAATAAAATAACAGAATCAATTTCACCAAAGTATTTATTTTTTACTGTAATCTGAAAATAATAAATAATACAACCATAATTATTAAAGTGATAATATTTGATATGTTATTTATTATATATAATTTTATTATATAATTATATGCATAAATAAATATTATGGCCATCTTATGATTAAATAAAGACAACAATTATATATAAAAATGGTGAAAAATGGAATCCACTACATGTGTTACAATTAAATATTTTATTGCAAAATTAATTAACTTTTATCTGTGTGGATAAAATGATCATTAGTGAAATAATTATAATAATATTATTATTAACAAATAATAACCTGTAAAAATAATAACAAAATCACGTGATTAAAAATCTTTACTACTATTGGAACTTTTTTGATTATATATATTAAACCAATTTTGTTTTAATATTTTTGTTTTCTTAATTAAAAATAAACAAAATAATTAATAAAAATTCTCAGAATATTTAATATTTTTCAAATGACTTAAATGACAGGTCATTTGAGTTGCAAATGACAAATGACAAATGACTTGTCATTTGAGTCATTTGTTCATTTCAAGTCATTTGCCAAACACTGGTTTAACAAGAGTTTTATTGAAAAAAGAGAGGGGGGAGAAAGGGTTAAAAATAATTTACAAAATTTTTTAAATTATTTTTTACTATTAAATATTAAATTTTGAAAATATGAGGAAAAAGTAAAAAAAAAAAGATATCTAAAAATTAGATTTCCATAGTGAGGGGAATATTATATAAAAAAAATTTTTTTTTAATATGTATAGTAAGAGACAAATTTTTGAGAGGGAGGAGAGAAGATCTAAAAAAATTAATGAATTTTTGCTTTTTTGGTGTCTATTTAAATTAAAATTTTGGGGGGATTTTGTTAAACGGAAAATCAAATTGGTCTGGCCTTACATTAAACCAATATATTTACATTACGTTCACCAATAACAGTGAAAAATTTACGCCATAGTAAGAAGTTTTTGCCAGATCCTTTCTTTTGCAAATGTAATTTTAAGAAGAGTTACAGTATATGCGTTTTAATAGTTTTAATAAATAGTAAATTTTAAATCATTTAAAACAGTATTTCTCTAGTTTCATCGAATAGAGGTTGGAACTGACCAAAAAGCCTTAATTGATTAATAATCAATTAACCAAGGGCCCTAATCGATTAATAATCGATTAATATTAAAATATTAAAAATTTTTTTTTTGACCACAGATTGCACCAAATTGTTTTTGATCATACATTTAGTTATAGGAAAGTCTTATTTATTATTATTATCATTAAAAAATTAATACAAATTCTTCCAAGTTCGGAGAACATGTGACCAAAAATCACAGCTCTGGGCTGCATTAGATAATTTGACCAGAATTATGGGTTGATAATTTTAATCGATTAACCAATTTTTGAGATACCTTAATTGATTAACCGTCTTAGTCGATTAATTAATTGATTAACCTTAATCGATTCCAAACTCTATATTCGAAATGAAACTACTTTTATTTATTACTAGAAAACAGAAGTTTGAAATGCTAAATGACTGTAAATTACACTCTTGACTAGTGCTTCGATCCAGGTAGAAACCGTTATCCGGATAAATTAAAAAAATTATCCAGGTTTTATCCAGATTATCCAGTTCAGGTATAAATCCAGATATATCCAGATAGAAACCAAAACCTGGATAAGATTAAATTTAAAAAAATTTTTTCATTGATCGATCTTAACAAATAATATCAGTGGCATTAACTTAATTAAATTTTGACTTGATATTTTTAACGAAATTAGTGATATTTTATTAATTTTAAATAAAATAAAATTTTAATTTCGGCTGGCACTACGAATTTGCCTGAATTATGTCAATTTTTTGAAAATTTGAGAAACATAAAATTTTGCAATAAATACATTATCTGTTATTATAAATATAAAAACACATTAAAATCGTAAAATAATGGAAGATTATGCATAAACTAATTATTTTTATTAGATTTATATACTATTTTGTAATATAAAATTAATCAATTCAACCTAACTATTAGAAAAAATCTTTTTTTTTAAATCATAAATCAACAGTAATTTGGGCCAAACATCATATAATGGTGGCCAAAATTACAAAAATCCCAAATTTTGTTTAGCTGGACCGGATACTGCTGCCTCTTGACAAATATCAATTTCGCAAAATTCGGGCTGGCATTATAGATGGCCTGAATTACTACCGACCATTGAATATTCTACTAGTAATTTTAGTATGATTTTAACAAATGGTAATTTAATAGATAATAATTTCAATAAATAAGTAATTTAAATGATTAAAAAAAAATTTTTATAATTTTTTTTATCCGGATAACGGGTCAAACCGGATGTTTTCTATCTGGATATTTTATCCGGATAAAACCGCGGTATCCGGATAGCTATTTTTTTTTTTCGGATATCCGGATACCGCGGTTTCATCCGTGCATGGATCGAAGCACTACTCTAGACCCTTTATGCAGTAACACAAGAAGCATTTAGAAGTCACGTGGTGAAATCAATATTCCTTACATTTTTTTTTTATTCTTAGGCCACTCCAATTTAATAGTTTGTTTAACGTACCCCACCCCCCTCATTTTTGAAAAATTTTTAAAAATAAACAAACATATGTTATATCACGTGACTTATAATAACATCACCGATTTGTATAATATTTAAAAGAATTCCTTTCCAGTGTAATTGAATCTACCAAAGAAAATGGTATAATTAATAAAAGTAATATATGTAAACTTATTAATTGCATTATCTGTAATAAATTAAGATGTATTTTTAGTAAAAATGCATTGAGTGATAAAGAAAAAACTATGTTTATTTTTAAATGTTTACTTAATTTGACCCCCTTCCCCCCCTCAATTTTTATATAAAGTTAGGACGTTAAACAAACTATCAAATTGGAGCAGCCTTACTTTAGAAAGGTAATAACTATGGCCAAATTATACGAATAAAATACAGAGGTTACGTGACCCACCCTTCGATATAGTTCTATGCTTACATTTTTTTATTTTATTTTTATTTTAATATTATGACAAGAACAGAGTAGTGTACAAAACAAAGATTGCTAACCTTAAAAGGGCAGCTGGATATTCAAGAATATAAGATACCAGAAATCGGAGAGATAAATAAACGGTTCACTTATAAACGAAAATTATGAAACATTTATTTCATGAGAAAGGATACGATTTCTCATAATGGTCTCAATTCTGATTGTTCGGGATTTTGATCGGGTTTGAATTGATGATGAAATTGTGACCTGATCAGTTTCATTTTAATACGCGCCCTCAAAAAGTTTAACATATCTTTATGGTATTTCTTATTTGCCATTTTTAAAAAAGAAAAATATTTTATCATACGAAAAATAAGGTGACCGTTCATTGCGTTCAATAAGCCGATCAAAGTACTCAATTTTGATTTGATCACATGATAGGATTGGTTAATGGATTTTCGATCAAAAAACCCGAACGATCAGAATTGAACAGGCCTAGTTTCAATTTTTTTCAAATTATGAACGCCGCGAAAAATTATTTCTTCTTTTTTAGATAAATACACTACTTCTTATATTTATTTTAACAAACAAAAATACTGTAATTTGTTTTTTAATATACTGTATTGTATAAATAAATGAAATTCATTTAAAGATTAACATTTAAGATTATATAACATGTTAATCAATAATACCGTACAAATATTGTTAAAGATGATTAATGAACTTAAGTATCATTCTTGTATTTGTTCTTTCCCTTCTCTTTGTGACTGACTCCAAGACAATTTATACCTTCACCGTTCACCGTCGAAAAAGTTGGGAAAAATAAATTAGCTGCAACAGTAACATGGGATGGAGTTAACAATAATGACACTCGTATGATTCTTTTATTTATACTGATTGTTAAAATGAAAATTTTTCATTAAAAAAAATAAAAATCCTCTATGCTCCCTTATATATGATCCTATCAAAGCTGTTAGACGTTAATAATTTTTTTCAGGTAAATGATCCTTTTCATTTCTTTTTAAAAACTATTTAACTGAAAGCTAACTACATTTATTTATCAGAATCTTGTTTTTAGTGAAAGTAAACTTCGATCTAACCGTTTATATATCGAGTGTTGCTGTGAGTTGTAGATGTGACATGGATACTAATATAAATTTTGATCCGGATGAACGTTGGACACTTGATTTTTGGTTTTGAAACACCTTAAAACACAAAATACATCTACATAAAATTTTTTTTTATTGCTTTCCATATTTTAATAATAAACTTAATTTTCAACTAATATAAATCGCACTGTTTTTTTTTTATTTTATACATATTTTCATTGCTACAAAATTTAAATATAATGACAAAGGGTAAAAATAAAAAGAAAAAATTTAACTAGTTGAATGACTTGTTTAAAGAACTATAATTTTCTTTTCTTTTTATCATTACTATTCATAATCTTTATATTAGTTTATGATCCAATAAAAGAAAATACTGCAGTATCAAATGATAAACTGCGGAAAAGGGATAAAAAAAAACTGGTCAACGATCATTGACTTTTAACACTTAAAGATCATCTTAAATCGTTTTTACATGAAAGTCACTTTACTTTTTTTGACTTTCGACGATGAGATCTTGATACGCTATGATTTTTTTTTGAGCAGTAACCAAATCGTCTTGTAAAGAAATTACTTTTGATTTTAAAGAGTCAATTTGGTTATTTAGTTTGGCACATTCGAGACAATCAATTTCTAATTTTTGCTTTTTTTTCAAAGAAAAAAAAAAGTTTATTATCAATATTATTGAAATAAAACACAAGAAATAATTAAGCACCAAGTACCTTTTTAGATGGTATTTGAGTTAAGTCTGTTACTGGAATTGGTGTATCATTCTTTGATTGATCCGAAGAGGGCTTCAAAGTGGTCATAGGAATTGAAGAAGTAGAAATCATCGAAGCAGAAGAAGCGATCAAAGTTGAAGAGGTCGAAGAGGAAATTGAAGAGGTTGAAGAGAAAGTTGAAGTTATTGTTGAGGACTGAGGATTAATCTAAATGTAAATAAAAAGAAATATAGGAAATTAGAAGAGATATAGAGATAAATTTTAACCAGGAAACTTACTTCTCTATATTCTATAAGTTTTTTTGATCTAAACTCTCTAGCTTCGGAAAACTTCATCACAGTCTCGGATGGGCCAAAATACTTTTTAAGTTTCATTTTATGAAAAAAAACGCATGCGTCTTCATATGTGTTACAATGAACAACTCCGTACCTGACATTATTAATTCTGTTAATCAAGATAATCAAGAGACATAAAATATAAATAGACACTACTTACCCATGGTCAATACTTTTATTGACGTGAACGAATGGAGGAGCTTCTATAGACTTCAACCACGCTTCGATTTCTTCGGCTGAAAGACTGTGTATATTTCCACTGAAATATACACTATGATTATCTTTTCCACATCCATGACAAGCGATCGGTTTTTCTTTTGTACAAAAAAAGGATATTAGTATACTTGCAATAAAAGTCGATAAAGATGACGATAAAGACGATAACGATAAAGACGATAAAGACGATAAAGACGATAATGACGATAATGACGATAATGACGATAACGATAAAGTCGATAAAGACGACTATAAAGACGATAATGACGATAAAGACGATAATGACGATAACGATAAAGTCGATAAAGACGACTATAAAGACGATAATGACGATAATGACGATAATGACGATAACGATAAAGTCGATAAAGACGACTATGAAGACGATAAAGACGATAAAAACGATAAAGACGATAAAGACGATAACGATAAAGACGATAACGATAAAGACGATAAAGACGTAGATGAAGCAGTTTCTTAATTATAAATCAAGCAAGGTACATAGCTTCCGCTTCTTCGCTTGCAAAAAACATACTAGTAAGGTTTTACACTTACCATTCGACATCCTTGATAATTACGTTAGTAAAAAAAAAAAAATTCAAAAGAAAATTTTGTGGAAAATTTTATGTATTTATTAGTTTTTGTTAAGAGAAAAAAATATGAAGCACCTTTGAGAAAGTTTGGGTCTTAAATACATCATGAATATTTAATAATAAGATAGACTTCTTGTTATGGCGATAATTTTTTCCGTTTCCCTTGTTAACCTTGTTAAGGAAATCAATGCCTCATAAAAATCAACTCAGTTTGATTTATTGTTAAGAAATAATTAGATAGACTCCGTTAATGATGGCGATAATTTTTTCCGTTTCCTGTTAAGGAAATCAATGCCTCATAAAAATCAACTCAGTTTGATTTATTGCTTAGTTATGGCGATAATTTTTTCCGTTCTTTTGTTAACCTTGTTAAGGAAATCAATACCTCATAAAATCAACTCAGTTTGATTTATTGTTAAAATTTCATAAGAATGACCTCATTTTATTATGCTGCGCGATCGAACAGAGAAAGCGTTCGCGAGTTAACAAGACAGAGTAACGTGACTGACATTTTCGGGTTTTATACTGTTTTTTGTGAAATTTTATTGGTGCAAACTAACGTATGTGAGGACAAGTGAGATATTCGTATAAGCCACCGCATCAAAAAATTTACAAAAATCTTTGTTTTCGAACATGCCAGAACCTATGGATAGGGATGGGTCGATTCGACAAATTAGTTCAAAGAATACGATATTCAAAATAATAAATTTTATTAAATGATATCTTTATTATTATTAAATGTTCGTTAATATGATTTAGTTATATAGAATAATGTTCGCTATTTACAATGTTATTGTTATCAGTTATTGTTACTGTTACTGTTAATTGTTCACTATTTATAGTAATTAAGGAACTTTTACCAAATTATCCATCCAACTTTTCGCACATAAACTTGCCCTCGCCGTGGTATAAACGATTCCGAGTCTTTGTAATCGCATTTCAGCGATCGAAAACGCTCGATCTGATACGACGCTCGTTGCTTGTATTGTTAAAGCCATTAATTTTTTTTCGCTTTAGGCTTATGACGTTTGAGATAACAATTATTTAAGTTTTCATGTGGAAATTCAACTGTTTATTTATTTAATTAAATTTATTATAGAAAGATTGACAATTTGTAATAACAATTATTTGTTTTCATGTGGCGATTTCAACAGAACACAAATATATCGCTTACTGTTACAAAATATAATTAAACGGTAGATTTGATAATCATGATATATTGACAAATGACAAGTATTAATTTAGTATACATTTTAAATTTTATTGTTTGATAAAATAAGACGAACAGAACCGGTTTCAAACCGACTTTCAAAGTCGACTTTCGGAGTCGACTCTCATAGAACCATTCGTTCCGTTCGCGCTGCTCGGTTCGGCTTAAAAAATGGTTCCGACGTTTGGCTCCAAAACCAACTCAAGTCACTCCATTTGGAACTTTTTCCATCCCTACCTATGGACCTTAAATATGACACAAAAATATTCGTCATAAGTCATCGCAGCTAGTTATTAAAGTCTTTGCATCTCTAGCCATAACCAATTTCACATGGGTAACGAAAATTAAACACTGTTGCTAGTATAATTTTCGTTTAAACTACATGAAGGTACTGACAATATATTATTAATAGAAATTTCCGATAGGACTGACTATGATTTCGATGAATCATAGCGTAGAATAATGTACCAAGTTTTTGAATTAATAATTCGGGGCAAAGTTGCGTTATTAACAAAAGCTGACTCTACTGCTTTCAACTATCCATGTGATGATACATACAAAGATACTTTTAAAGCCTAACAACTGGCATTTTGTTTCCTTATGTTTTAATGGTAACAATGGAAAAGCGTCCGATGTTGTGAGCATCCAGTACTTGTATACTGTAATGTTTAAAAGTTCTCGTGCCTTGGGTACAGAAAATAAGTAAAGTTACCAATAAAATTTATTTGGTTGCAAAAGTTGGAAGATATGTTGTTAGCACTGTCGTCAAAGTGTTCTCACTTGATAAATCAATCGAGCATCAACAAATAAGAGGAAATTCTGTATCCTCTTCGGTCAACAATTAATCGAGCATCAACAGACAGGAGAAACTTTCGTGCCATCAGTCGACAAATTAATCGAGCATCAGCAGATATATATATACAGGAGAAACTTCTTTGCCATCAGTCAATAAATTAGTTCAACATGAGGAAAATCTGTATTCTGCAAGGAAATAATCACTACGCCTATTTATCAAAAATATGGCCATTCTCGAGTTTATTCGTCTGAAACCGAAACGTTGTGGGTGTTATTTGTCAAATTATTCGATTACGAGAAAGCGCAATTTGGATCTAAGTTTACGTACAAATCATTGGCATGCGATTCAATAAAATTGGATTTAAAACAACCAGGCAAACGTTGTCAAATTTTTCATGTTACTGTTCCTCAGTCGAAAACAAAAGAACTATTTTGGCTTGGATTAACAAGAAGTCATGTGATCATTACTTTGTATAAATATTTCCTTGCCAATATAATATTTATGACGTGTATAAATTAGTAGTATTTTTTCTTTTGATGTAATTTTATTTAACAAGATTGTACATTATTTTACATCAATAAAAATCAGTAGGTAGTATTCAGTACTAGTACGAATTTGCAAATCTGTACAGTACGGTTTGATCATTTTTTACTAGTACGATAGAAGAGGTATTGAGTAAAATATGACAGTACGCTAACGCAACTTGGTACGTACGTGTGTTTTTTTTGTTCGTACGTACATTTACAGCTAATCAATTTTTTTGTACTAGTACGTACGATACTCAGAAGAGGTATTGAGTAAAATATGAC